GTTTGTCACCGTATCTTATAAAAAAATGCAGGTGGCAGAGGACCAAGCTGCATGGCATTCCTAGGGGGAGGCCTATGTTCAGCAGTGGACTTATAAAAGGCTGTAATAATTATAATGACATATACGCTGCTGAAAGTATACCTCATTAATTCCATTCCTGCGTGCTTTTTACTTTACGTGACGTATGGTGGTGGCATGATCCATCACTCCATTTCGTCAGTCCTATGAAGCGATTAGGGAAAGACCAGAAAGGTTTCATGGCCTCAGATATCCAAATAGCCAGACTGTTGACTCCGATCTTTGATTTGGTACTGCATCACGGTAATACCATATCTTCTTGATCCTTGTAGTGGCGGTGTAAGAATATACATTACCCCATAACATTCCGTGGGTGTCGTAAGAAGCGACAGATAGTTACTACTGGGGATAGTCGACAGCGTCTTCATGATAACAAGTAGGAAATAAAAATTTGATTAAATTTTATAAAAAGTGCAGCGCTCCGAGATCGAGGATTCAACCCCACACGGAACATGTGTTTGAATGAGCTACAAGTAATTTTTCCGGGTCTAAATGTTGGTCGTACCGGGATTAACTTGTTTAAGGAATAAAATGGTGGTGCAATATAATCATAATATGTTCATTCAAAACATTAAACAGGCATTGTTAGTTGCATCTGAGCGCGTCGCTCCCACGGTCACTAACAGATGTTTCGAATTAGTTAATGATCTTTGTGTGAGCTTTCTCTTTCATCTTGCATTGATAGAACTGATATTATTGTTAATTATAATTACGACTAACTTAAATGTTCATTTATTAATTCATTCATTACGGTCTATCACACTTCCACTGCTGAACATAATTCTCCCCATCCCCATTGATCACCACATAGGGGGGATGGATATTAGTCATAGTTGCATTGGCAAGCGGCTTGATAACCGCAGTTTATTTTATCACTATTGATATTGGTTGTGATAAAGAAGATGTCACCTCTTGCTTCAGTTTCCCTCTGACAACTCATACGATACCTACGGAAAAATAACAGCCACAGTTTTCAATTACCAGCAGGTGGAACACAGAAGACACGCACAGCAACTTAATGCTGCCGTGTTTCGAATGGTGAATGTAGAGAACCGGAGACCTCTTTTACTGGAAACGAGACATTCCATCTCAGTCTTCAGGAGTGAAAACGCATCTGCGTTTTGATTCTTAATTAAGGAGAAATGTAGATGTCTATGGGCCACAGCATCCACTTACTATCAGGTGGACTGTAGGCTCGTTTGTGACACTTATTTTATAAAAATGTGGACTGTGTGTGTGTGTTTGCACCGTTACTTCTGCAAAAAAATGGTATATTACGTAATTTCGTTTTAAAACCGCGCAATACCTAGCATGTCTAGTGTGTGCTAGATGTTTACTCTTGGTCAGGGCCACAGCGATGCATTTAGTGGCACGTGACGTAGCTTCATTGTGCTGCCAACGCCCTCTCAACAAATCTATCGTATGTCTAGACAATTTGCGAACATCTGCCAACTTCCCATGTAGGGTTTACCGTCTAGTACAATGGTGGCTCTATTAGATACGTTAAAATCGTCTAGACGAAAATAAATATTGAATGTAAGTGGGAATAATAGTTTTGAACGCATAAACAGGAACGTAGAAATGTAAAATCGTGACGGTAATATGAGAGAAGGAGAGAGACGAAGTATCTCTATTTGAGTGAAAACGTAAGCGTAAGACGTATAAGATAAAAAAAACCGGCCAAGTGCGAGTCGGACTCGCGCACCAAGGGTTCCGCACAAATCCGTAGGTATAAAGGTAACTAAAAATTTATGCTTTTCGCAATTTTTCCTTTATCTGTGCTATAAACTATAATACGTTGCTTCGTACCAAATTGCGTTGGCTTAGAAGTTTGATTTTTCACAGCTCCAAGGGACAGTAGACTTGAGTATTTGATATGAATTTCAGCTTGATATACCTCCACGCGTTCCTGAGAAAAAGGCTCTTGACAGACAGACAGACAGACAGACGGACAACAAAGTGATTCTATAAGGGTTCCGTTTTTTCCTATTGAGGTACGGAACCCTAAAAAAGACGTGTAAAGTTGCATTGTAATTTTTAAAGTGAAAGAAGCAAAAGAAAATAATTTCTTTGAAGATCAATACGTTTCCGCTAATTTCGAATACTATATCCCACATGTATGTATAAAAATGCTGCCGACAAATTAACAAAGGCTTTACTTAAATTACCGAAAAAAATGCGACATTTCAATGGCTTCGTGGCGCAGTTGTTTATCATTTAGTTGCGGCGCTGAGGATCACGATTTCGAATCCCACACGGAACAAGTATTTCAATGGACTACAAATATTTTTTCCGAATCTGGCTGTTTGTCTTTATTTAATTTATGTTTGTCAACTGTCTTTACACTACAGGAGATTATTCTAGTGTGTATGTAACATTTTTTAATTTTACGTAGCAGCAGAAAAAACAACGAACATTTATGATTTCTTACGTTTACGGTAACACTGAAGTTATAGTTATTTACCGAAGTTATAATAATTAAAACGTGTTGCATCAAATTATACTTGACTGTTAGCAATGTTTTTACCAGCGATTACGAGGCATGCTATAGCGTATTATGGTTGTAACTGAGTTTCGTTTAGTGAGTGACTAAAATCGGAGAACCTGTGTCCTCAAGAGGTGACAACATAAAGGGTGTGTTCCGATATACACTGCGAGCACTGATCAGTGCTCTCACTGGTGAAAAATTCGTTCACTTGTGTTCACTCGCACACAGTATACTTCTGCAGTGCCCTAGGGAAATATATGAAGTCATAAATCATTTGACTTTGGAAGAAAGGTTCTCGAGTGGCAGCCTCGTACCGGCAGGCGAAGTGTAGGGCGTCCCCCCACTAGATGGAGTGACGACCTGGTAAGATATGCAGGAAGTCGATGGATGCAGGTGGCTCAGGACCGTGCTTTGTGCTATTCTTTGGGGGAGGCCTATGTTCAGCAGTGGACTTGTGAAGGGCTGTTATGATGATGATGATGATAAATCATTTTTGTATTGTGAGCACTGGCGCTTTCGAGGTAAGGTGCTCTCAGTACTTTGGTCACGTGATCATAAAAGCTTTAGAGATTTAAGAGCTTCCCACGAATGATTATTATTATCATTAATTAATATTGTTATTCAAATAAACTCTTACATTCAATTTTAAAAGCAACAACATTCAAATAATATTTTTCCTGTTGAAGAGAAAACGTGTACATGATAAATATTTCCATTTGAAAAAGCATTTTGATTCGTAATCGAAGATAGATGTAGATCTCTATAGGCCACAGCAACCACTTACAATTAGGTGAACTGTGTGCCCGTTTGTCAACCTTATCTTATAAAAAAGAAATATCGGAACACATCCAAATGTGCAGATACCCGAGTTTGCCAGATACTAAAGTTATTGGGAAGGGTGACGTGATGTCCATTTGAATTGGTAATGAAAATAAATGTATTGCCTACAGCCCACAGCAACCAAACCCTCAGGTGGACGGTGTTCTCGTTCCTCACCCTTACTTTACTTTAAAAAAAAAACAAGAAACAATAAAAGCGAAAGTTGACTATGAGCGAGTGCTAGCCTTACTTGATAAGAACTCGTTTTGACGAGAAAAACAAAAACTCGTCGTGTTATCGATAGGTTTCTTTTTTTGTTAAATATTGTATCCAGAGACAATTTCGATTTTAAAGTTCATCAAAATTTTTGTGTAATTAAGAATGGTCTGGATTAAAATTTTGACATTGTGGAGGAGTATGAACTCGAGATTGTCTATGAATACCGTCGTCATAATTTTTAAAGAAAAAATAAATACAATACAATTTATTTTGGACAATATAATTTATGTAAGACTTTATTTTATAAACCTTGTCAAAATGAGTGATGCCCATAATTTAAACACGCGCAATATATATCTAAACTTGCTGTTCCAAAGTACAGATTCATTTCTGGGTAGATGTATAAATATTTATAATAAGATTCCCTGTAATGTTACTGATTTGCCTTTGCATAAAGTCAAAGCGCATGTAACGTCCATGTCACACCTATGCCGGTAGTTGTTGGGAACACTAAGCTCAAAGTTGTTGACGAGCATGTTTACCTGGGACAAATAGTCCGACTAGGTAAATAGAACTTCGAATGAGAGGTCAATCGACGGAATCAACTCGGCTGGGCAGCGTTCGGGAAGCTACGACACATCTTCTCGTCAGGTATACCTCAAAACTTGAAAACGAGACTGTACAACCAGTGCTTGTTGCCAGTGATGACTTATGGAACTGAGACGTGATCCTTTACTGCTGGCCGGATGACAAATTTCAAGGTCGCAAGGAGCTATGGAGAGGGTTATGCTCGGGGTTTCTCTGCGTGATACGATTTAAAAACACCGTCATAGCCCAACGGATTAGTAAGCTGAAGTGGCAGTGGGCCGGCCATATAGTTCGAAGAACCGACAACCGATGGGGAAGAAAGGTTCTCGAGTGGCAGCCTCGTACCGGCAGGCGAAGTGTAGGGCGTCCCCCCACTAGATGGAGTGTCGATCTAGTAAGACATGCAGGAAGTCGATGGATGCAGGTGGCTCAGGACCGTGCTTTGTGACATTCCTTGGGGAAGGCTTATCTTCAGCAGTGGACTTGTGGAGGGCTGCAATGATGATGATGATGATGATGAAAGCGCATGTAAAAAGCACCTATAAAGAAATTAGATGAATGTTTAAAATATAAGAATGCGTGGACAAAAAGAGACTTCTTAGACTGTTTTTTAATAAAGAATTATATTTAATAAGGTTAATGTTGCAACTGTTGGAAAAAAATACTCGACTTGAGTTTCTTGCCGCATCTTCTCACGAAGTCTTTCCGCAATAGGGACTTGTTAAAGCGATCGGTACTGTAGATATAAAGTACTCGAAAAATCGGGAGTATAAAATAAGTTAAGGCGACGGAAGGTACGTGCACTCACCATGCGCTCGCGCTCGTCCTCCACGGTGCGGATGAGGTGCGCGAAGTGCTGCAGCGAGCGGCCGATGGCGCGCTCGTCCTCCGTCATGGAGGCGCCGATGCACGCGAACTCGAACTGCTCCATGCTGGAAGCCAGCGCCAGCTGTGCCGCGCCAAGACCTGCATTTATTTTCTTATTACATTTTTTATATATACAAATAAATAAAATTACAAAGTGTCTGTTTGTAATGTTAAAATAACAGCTTTATTTAAAATTATTATTCAAAACAAAAAAAAACGATTTTCACTGGCAGATAACTGATGTTATAACATAGTGTTATAAGGAGTAACCTAAGCTACTTTTAATTTAGAAAAAAATTAGGGTTCCGCGCTAAACAAAAATTAAATCTCTTATATTTATTTACGCGAACACTACACAATAAATGAAACTAATTTTACAGATTCTATCGAGTTTAACTTAACATTTTAATTCCCGACGTTTCTGGTGCTTTCCAGCGCCCATGGGGGTGGGGGTTTGAGGTGTTTGACGTCCCGAAGTCATAGCTAAGCCAGCTACCTTCAGTTTTTGAATATTAATTATTTGTCCTATCTACACAGAATGAGCTTACAGTGTCTTGAAGTCTTGCAGTGGTATGCTTGAGTTTGCATTTGATTTTGTCTATAATAGGATCCCAAGCAGATTGCAGCACCAATCAATCTTCTCTATAATTTTTTTTTTATTTCAATAGCCTCGCGAATCATCCTTGGCAGGAATCGGTGTTCTTTTACGAGGATTTGTGGTTTATCAAATCTAATGTAATGCCGGAGACGATTTTGAACATGTTCACGCACTGCAGACTTCCCGGCACGTCGGTGCTTCAAGTCAGTGTTTTAAGTCGTCTCGAGCGTTCAGCCGGTGTTTCCAGTCAGAACACTGACAGTGATATGAGCAACTTACTTCGAACGCAGAAGGCCGTGTAACCTATAGCTATAAACTACTATTTCACGCTCGTTATCTGTGAAAGCGTGGTCCTTCTGCAGTGGAGGTGACCCATTCGTGTTACAAGTCGCGGCACGTAAGTCTAGCGCTTAACGAAACGTGGAGGGGACGCGCACGAATTGAATTGCACAAATGCGACTGGAGCGCCAATCAACGCGTGCGAACAACAGGCACGAGCAAATCAGCGCGACTTATGCCCAATAACGGTCACCGCTAGACTTTCGTGCCGTTACTTACACAACCGTAATAAAGCTACAGCGTGGCTCTACCACGTGTAATTAATTGCGTTTATTAAAATATATTGTATCTACCGCGTGGTGGTAGTGTAACAGAACCCATCTCCCCCATTTCGTCCCGCGGGTATCTTAGAAGATGAATATGAGATTATGCAAAAAAATCTTTTGACTATCCTTAAGGCAAATTCTCACTCCCGTAGAGATCCATATACAGCAGTGAGCTTTTACGGACTAATAATAACGAAAAAAATTATAATGTATAGTTTATCCTAAACCTTTGCGCACTAACTCAAATCATAAGTTAGTCAAGAGGATATTCTGGCTGCGTTTAGTTAACAAATCTATTCCTCTGTTTTCTCCCTGGATAATGACATTTTTTAATAATATTCTAAGCCAGTGTTCAACTACAAGCCCACCTGATGGTAAGTGGTGATGCAGCCGAAGATGGTGAAGCGCACTGACTTTACAAAAGCATATTCACTTTTGCCTTGGAGACACCTACATTGTAACCGAATGGAAATACAGATGCAGGCATATAAAAATATACGCTTTAATCTATTTACTCTGGATACTCTTTACACTGTTTGTTTTACTTTAATTAATAGAATCAGGCGTTACATTGCGGAAGTTCATTATATTAAATTTGACAAAAAAATTACTTTGCGTACATCCGCTAGATATCTAGCGGTGTACGCAAAGTAATTTTTTGTCAAATTTAATTTGTTTCACTTTGTTTGAAGAGAACTTTAAACCAGATAAGACACATCATTTCATTTTATTAGGCGGATATTAACTAATTAATTAACATCTATACAAATAAACAAAATTGAAGTGTCTGTTTGTAATGTCAAAATAACAGCATTTTACTAAATGCATATGAAAGTATTTACGGTTCTTATAACAAAAAAACAACTTTTTTTCTCTCTGTCTGTTTGTTCCGGCTAATCTTCGAAACGGCTGGACCGATTTTGACGGGATTTTCACTGGTAGTAGCTGATGTTGTAAGGAGTAACTAAGGCTATTTTAATTTTAGCAAAAGAATTAGGGTCGCGCGCAAAAAGAATAAAAACCCATGAAATCCAATCGTAACAAATTCCACGCCGGCGAAGTCGCGGGGAACAGCTACTACTTAAATAAAACTGAAGTATGTGTCTGTAATATTGAAGTAACTGATTTCTATTGAGCTCAGGAAGTTATTTGCATACCACTAAGTCATGAATAACCATTTTTAAAATCTTTGTCTGTTTGTTTGTGTGTCCGAGTTAATTTTCGAAATGACTGATAACTTTACGAACAGATAGAGAGAAATTCCAGGAGGGATGTAGGTTATATTTTATTGGAGAAATTGTCATCAATGAATCCTAATGATTTCTCATATTTATGCGAACAGAAACAGAAACTTTTTATTCAATATAGATTATAAATAATACTTATTGAAAGTCACTCTTTTGTTTAATTACCACGGGTTCGAAAAAAATCTTCTGTCCTGGGAAGAACCAGCAAGAAACCCAGCGGGGCTTTTTTTTAAATAACAGAACATTACACATAGAAATTGAAAATGTTTACGGATTTTATCCCCCGTGACCATGGGTTCCTGTAAAGCACCGGAAACGTCGGGAATTAAAAATAAGTGAATTAAACGCGATAAAATCCGTAAACATAGTTTAATTCAATTATTGAATCCTATCCAGGCGAAACCGGGGCGAATCCCTAGTCCTTAACATAATAAATTACCGCAATGATTCTATTAATTATCCTTATTTACTTAATAAAAATGGCGAAACATGCTAGCAGCAGCCATACAGTGCCATACAATTTCGACAGCACTATCGGCTTCAACACTCTCGAAACCCATGAAAATGACACCCATGATGAAAAAAATTATACTACTTACTTTTAGTACGTACTACTATTATTTATTCTGTGCTTTTAAAATATTGCAATAAAAAGTCTCTTATTATTATTATTATAATCAAGTATTTAAGAAATTTGGTTATTCGAGTATTGTGTATTTGTACAGCGATCTTTTTGAGCCGCTGCAAACAACCGAAACAATGTCCACTCACGACGGCGACTGAAGCCGAACTGAGTGAGTGAGTACTGAGTAAACTACTCTGTGGCTGTAGCTCCCCATTTACAGAAATAATTTACATACAAGGCTACCAAATCAACGAAAATTTCGCCATTTTGAAGCCGAAAATAATTAATTATAGCTAAACAAAACAAAATTACACTGCCATTTACATCATCTATCATTTACATCATCTATCATCTATCATGTGGGAAGCCACTGAGGCTTCCCACATGATAGATGAAGAGATTAAAAAATATATTAAGTTAAACAATTGATATTTTCAAAAGTTATCGTGTTTACAAGCCTTGGGGACATGATAAATCCACGCAGTGGAGTAGTTTGCCTTAGAGGGCCCCTGTATCAAAATCTGTCGGGGGCGCCCAAATGAAGGGTAAAGATTTCTCACAAAAGGAACAAAAACTCTCGCATTGAATTAAAATAATTATATATTGATTATAAGTTATTACTTACAATTAATACTCCTAGGAACTAAGCTAGCCAAACAATTCAAACCAACATCCTGTCCCATAGAAGTCTTTAGAATTTTTGCTTACATACGTTCGGGGCCCCTGTAGCCCGGGGGCCCAGTATCATTGATACGGCTGATACGGCGGTAGCTACGCCCCTGAATCCACACCATAAGCCACTAAAACCCCTTTTTTTATTTAAAAATAGCAATTAATCGATTTAAAAAAAAATAATAAGTTCAACAATCATTTATCTTTCTAACAATGTGCTTTTTATATCATTTATATGTATAATATGATTGCTAGATACGATTTTATTCGATAAAACGTTGGAATCTTAATTTTTAGGCGATAGTAGAACATACCTTGCGCTTTCGCTTAAGGTATGCAAAATATTGTACAACCGACTTCAAAATAAATTATTAAGGATAACTCAAAAACTACTGGCCAGGAAGGCTACACGAAAAGCAGCACCTTTCAAATAAAAAAAAAAATTATGGAAATGGGTTCACCTAGAAAAAAAGTTATGAAGTAACAAACATAAAAAAAAACATACATTCTAATTAAATACCTCCTACTTTTTAAAATCGGTTAAAAATACAGTTTGGTTTATTAATAAACACGTGCAAGATGCAAGCATCGTCCGATTCCTTCAACGTGACTACAAATAAAGGAAGAGATTAGAAGCACACGTGATGTAACACGCAGCCTGAGGATATATGTACTTATCTCCATGCAATAGTAATGTTACTGTATGTATTTCGTGTGATGACAAAAACCGGAACATATTAGTCGCTATGAGTTCACAACATCTCCACATATTCTAAGCTAGTGAACAATGAGTAAGTGAGATGAAATATCAAAAAAAAAACTCTTCGTTTTTGACAAGTATGGCAAGTAATAGAATTTTAATTGTCAAACGTCAGCTTATTTTCTTTATAGGACGAGGGTAACAAACGAGCACACAGTCCACCTGATGGTAAGCGGATGCTGTAGGCTGTAGCCCATAGACATCTACGTCTATCCTCGATTACAAATCAAAATGCAGATGCGTTGTCACCCGTGATGAATAAGATGGAACGCCTCGTTTCCAGTAAAAAGGGTATCCGGTTCTCTACACTCACCATAAGAAACACAGCAGTGTTGAGCTGCTATTTTACGCTGGTATTCTCTGAAAGCGTGGTCCTTCCCCGGTCGAGCCGACTCATTAGTAATACAACTATACTACTAATATAGCTGCAGCATGGCTCTACCACGTCCTAATTAATGCCGAAAGAGATAGATACCTACGAAGGTATCCTCTTTTTTCGCAATTTTTATATAACTCATACTCGTATAAAACAATAGTGGCAGCACTATCATATAATAAAGAAATTAGTATTTACGTATGTGTAGGCGGGGCG